TCACCTCCACGGACGGCATCAAATGCCAGCACATCTAATGACAAATCAGGTCACACCTACACTTGCACATACATACAAGAATGGTTGAGCGATCAATATCATTATTATTATTACTTTTTAGGGTATGTTATAGATATAGGAATTGAAATATACATATATAAGGGTACGATCACGTGTGTATGTGCTACATATATATAATACCGATTTGTCACATTATTAATTATTATTATTATCACTGATGTTGTTATAATTCTTGTTGTTTGATGAGTGTTATGTTTCTTATGGTTGTTTGTATTCTGTATTCCCCTATACATAATTTTTTTCACCTACATTATTAGTGTTATTATTTCTGTATACCTTTTTTTTTCTCTCTCTCCCCCTCTCCCCATGTTGATTGATGCCTGTTATTGTTACGCTTGTTGTTTCTGTATCCCCCCCTGTTTTTTTTTTTTTTTTTTTTTTCCTTTTTCCACGGTGCTGGTGAGTTCGGAGCGGCCACACAATTTAATGTAAAATAAAGTTGTCCTCCGAAGAGGGGGGGTGGTGGTGGGCAATAAAAAAAAATTAAATAAATAAATCACCTAAGGCAAAAATTGTTACAAATGGATTTATTTCTGCTTCATTCCCATTGTATAGAGGATGTAGACAAGGATGCCCCCTAAGCCCAGCTCTCTTTGCCCTGGCTATTGAACCTCTAGCTGAGGCTATCAGATCCAATCTTAATATAAAGGGCTTTGAAATTGGCCCTGAGACTCATAAAATATCATTATTTGCTGATGATATTCTTTTATTTCTTACTAATCCCAAAGAGTTTTTATTTAGTTTATGGAATATGTTACAATTGTATAGCACTTTCTCTGGGTATAAAGTTAATATGGATAAAAGTGAAATTTTACCATTGTCAGGGGTTGACTGTATTCTACTGGATGGTTTCTCTTTTAAGTGCTCAACCAGTGGTATTAAATATTTAGGTATACAAGTAGACGGTAATTTAAAGAATCTTTATAAACTGAATTTGGCCAGTCTCTTAGAAAAAGTGGGTAGAGATTTAACTGATTGGATGGATCTACCCATCACATTTTTATACGTTTCAATCTCTACCAATTTCCATCCCTAAACTCTTTTTCACTACTCTTAATGGATTGATTAGATCATTTATTTGGCATTGTAAAACTCCAAGGGTCAGCCTTGATAAATTGGCTTTAGATTACAACCAAGGAGGACTCAGGCTTCCCAATTTTAAAATGTATTACTGGGCAGCCCAGTCCAGGTATTTGGCTCAGATGTTTGCCGGGACCCCTTTTCCCTCTTGGCTTAATATGGAGAAATTTGAGATAAAAGAAGATTGTCCAAACAATATAGTGTATACATGGGATGATGTGCTGATAAAAAGAAAAACCAATAATCCCATGATTATTCAGTCAGTTCAAACTTGGAATAAACTGCGGTCGCTACTGGGAAAGGTTCATTTTCTTTCTCCTAGAACGCCTTTATGGGGAAACAGAATGCTTCCAATGTGTTATCAAAACAAAAATGTTAGGATTTGGTTCGAGAAGGGTATTACACATTTGGAGCATTGCTTTGATGATGGCATTTTAATGTCATTGGCACAGATAAAGGAAAAATATAATTTGAGTAATAAAGAATTTTTGAGTTATCTGCAATTACGAGATTGTTTAAGGGTCAAATTAATAAGTTTTCCTAAGATACCTGATTTGACAGGATTTGAGCAAATCTGTTATTCTGATAAACCACTGTATAAAACAATCTCTAGAATTTATGAATCTTTGATCTCGAGTCAACCTTTAGATGACGTGGACAAATCCAAAAGTAGATGGGAGCAGGATTTGGAGATAGGAATAGATGGGGATCTATGGGGTCAATTATGTAAAGATTGGGTCACTTCAACTTTGAATTCTAGATATAGATTAATTCAATTTAATTTTTTACACCAACTTTATTATACTCCATCTAGATTGCATAAATTTAATAACAGTATCTCACCACTTTGCTTCAGATGTGGTACAGAGGAAGGAACATTTTTACATTCTACCTGGTTGTGTCCGAAAGTGATGGTGTTTTGGGTACAAGTATGTAACATTATATCGCAAATTCATGGATGTAATTTTCCAGTGGACCCAGAGGTGTGTTTACTAGGTAATTTGACCAATTCTAACCTCCGACATAGTCACATGATTAAGCTGACTGAAGTTTTGTTAATAATAGCTAAGAAACGTATTGCTCTGAAATGGAAAGCAGGCATTGAAGTGTCGATTGGATTGTGGTTGTCGGAGGTGTGTAGTTGTGTACCATTAGAAAAGATTACATATTCTATGAGGGGCAGGAGTGAATTGTTTTATAAAATCTGGGACCCCTTTTTGAATTATATAAAAACAGTACCACAGGATTTGATTTGATAAGTGCCGATTGTTAAACTGACATTTTATCTGTTAAATATGTTACACTTGTGATATTTATATAGTATCTCTCTCGATGAAGGTTTTTTTAATTTTTTAATTTTTTTAATTATTATTTCCATTTTGTGTTTGGTCTTTTGGTTGTTGATATTATGTTTGTAAAAAAGCAAAATAAAATTTTCAAAAAAAAAAAAAAAAAGATGCACTATCTCCATAGCCATTTAAACAAATTTCCAGATAACCTTGGAAACTTCAGAGAGGAACAAGGCCAGAGGTTTCACCAAGATATGAAGGTGATGGAGGAGAGATATCAAGGCAGATGGACATACACATGACGGCAGACTACTGTTGGAGTCTCCAATGTGATTGTCCTGATGACACACATAAAAGGAAATCACATAAACAGCGTTTTTTGAAGCATTGACATTAATAACAATAACTAATTAATATTGTATTAAATCATACATAACTTTTTCCTGTCACTGTTAGATATTTTTAATTTCTTTTTGTATGATGATAGACTGTTTACTTACTAGTTGTAACTAAAATAAAAATATTCTTGCAATTCTGAATGCTTTTCAAATGTGTTGCACTAATTAATCAACTATTAAATATCTCAGAAACTAGAGTCAATCTGGCAAAACCAAAGTCATATTCTTAATCAGCACCATAAACTTAAAATAAAACCATTCAGACATGGTTGGCACCAAAATCACTGTGTACCAGTGTAATGATATATCATCCTTCTGGGTCAATAATCGAGCTGTTATGAGTTAATGGTATTCTCTTGTTCACTAATATTGAGACACCTCTCTTTATACTGGTATATGTGGCTGAGAATGTTTGGTTAAATTATTTAAAATGTATGTGCTGTAGATCAGAATTTGTTAGGTGGGTTTCCTGTAAAAAGCATATGTCAGCATCTAACTTTGTGAGGTGACTAACAACTTTGATTCTTTTACTCTGTGTGCACATACATGCCATGTGACTAATTTAATAGGTTGTGTAGCCATATTGTTATTGCTTAAATCTGAATATATGAATATTCTACATCTGTGATCAACGTTCGGGGTGGGGGAAGCTGGGGAGGGAAAATACAAAGATGAAATGTGAGTGCACTCGTGACATCATACTTCTTTTTGTAGAATCTATACAGAGCCTAAACATAAGACGGGAAACAAAGACATTACATATAACAACTCAAGACGATAAAGAAATACGAGTGAGGGGATTTAACATTATTTGTAAGGCAGGAGGTTACAGAAACTAATAACAAAAACTCAAGTATATTAGAAAGGCCATGGCGTTGTTTTAGAGTCCCGGTAAAGATGATCATCAATGTATAATTTATCTACAATCAAGACAACGCATTTATTGTTTTTCCTGTTTTCTTTAAGCAGAGGGTACAGTATCATCCAACGCTGGTTCATTTCTTGTGGATACTGATCATTAAATCCATATTGTGTTCCTTACAGTTCTTTTCCCTTACTTTTTATGTTTTTACTCTTCTGCACAGTTGTGAACCAGGGCTTCCGATTCTCTTAACATTACAGCTAAACCGAGTTTGCACTATTTGGCGAAGGGAATAGTGCACACCTTTGTAAAATCAGGGTTCCCAGTGGTATTGGAATTTCTGGAATATGATGAAATTTTAAAAGTGTTACGATGCAGCATAATGCATGCAGGACAAAAGGATGATCCACTAATTAGCTCCAAGACAACAGGGTTTACTGAACAAACAGAGACACCAGGGAAAAACACCAAACAAAAGAGACCATGGGTCTTCCTGCTAGTGTAGCGGAAGCTAAAACCATGGGTTCCTTTAAATCAGAGCTAGATAAGATTTTAACAACGAGCTTGATGAGCCGAATGGCCTCCTCTCGTTTGTAAATTTCTTATGTTCTTATGGGGGGTTAGAACAAAACAGGAGAAAAAACAACTAAAAAGAAATACAAAAATAACAAACTATGGGAACTGGGGAACACAGGGAACAGAACTATGAGACACAGAGTAGGCAGAGTAGCATGCAGTAACATATACACAATGACTGACTACAGAACTGAGCAGGAAAGGCATTTAAATACACCGAGACGACTGGCTAATGAGGGTGCAGGAGTGGACCATGACCAGTACAGCCAATCAATAGAGACACAGGGCAACAAGCAACAGGTAGATTTAACTAACAATAACAAACACTGAACTTAGAAAACTAAATAGACACTGAAACTAGGAAACATAACCATACACTAGGGATACAACACAAAGACAATAACAACAGAACCGGAACAGAATACAAGCAAGGCAAACCATGGACAAGACAATTAGGATGGAAAGTAACCGACACTGGGGAACAAAACCCAATGAATACAAATAAACAGATGAGGTTTGCCTCTAGCCAGCCTTGAAACCCTAACCTGTAGATTCCCACCTTCTGAACAGTAGCATTCACCTCTTGCTCACTGTCTCTCAGGGTCGTTCTAGTACTGTCCTACTGAGGCAGGGTGATGCTCAGCATTATGGATTGCAACTCCTGTCCTAAGCCAACAAAAAGCAGCTACCTGCTTGATAAAACAGCAAAACGGGTTTTGAAAGATCAATTTTATTTCTGAAATACTTGGAAGGTCTAACAAAAAGAGGAGAGTATCAAAAGCAGAGAGAAGTATGTAAACTCATAAAATAACTGCCAAATAAAGAGTTTTACTGTATTGTTTTACTGTTTTAAGAAAGGATAAATGCAAGCTAAAATGACACAATGAGCAAGTTCATGCGTCAAGGGCCAAGTAATACATAAAAATGTAATCAATATCAACAGCGAAGTAAAGCAAGTCAAAATATGTATTCTGATTAATATGACTTATAATCATAATATATGTATATTAATGATAGCAAGATCACATATAAAATGTTACCTTCTAGAAACATTCATTCAAAGCAAGCATTCAAAGGTAAGGCAAACAAAAAATAAAGCTTCTTGTGAAAGACCTTGTTTGCTACTTGCCACACAGTAATTATTTCACTTTGAACAAGATCAATGGAGAACGTTTATCCTGCAAACACAGCACTGCGATTGGTTTGATCTTCTCTGTAATACAATGATCATTAAATGTAAGTTTCAGGTTTACAGTAGGGGGCATTCCTATATTTATAAGTGAAAACTAATCATATTACACACACTCTGATTGCTGGTGCGCTTTATGCTGTTCTTCTCTCCACTACTAGTTTCCACAGAGCTATGATGTTTCCCATCTTCAAGTCTCCAAGTTCTCTGAGGGGATTCAGCAGGTTCTCAATGCACTCATCGTCCATCTCCTTCCTCTCCAAGAAAGCTGTAAATGTCTCCATGATACTATAACATAAAAATGAATAACTGACATTAGAATTCACTGACAGCAAAGCCCCAGCAAACTGTGCAGGATAAGCATTTGGAATATGGAGGGATAGATACAGTACGTCAAAGAAGGAATAATAATTTAATATATATGTAAAAAAAAATCTATGCTGTAAAACATAGTATATTTAAATGTGAAATGCATGATTGACATAAAAGGAAGTATCATTTTTAGAAAATGTGAAACTGTCAGTCATGATATTTAAATATACAATTTAATGAGTCAAAGTGGAAATAAGTGAAGGTAAATTAAAATGAAATCATAAAAATACAATATTCTTACTTCCAATCTGGTTTCATTTCATTCATCTCCATGTTCATTATCATATCATGAAGTTCAGTGATAAACAAATCAATGTTTCTAAATGTTGACAACTGAGATGCCAGTTCATTCATGTCTTTCTCGGTGAAGCGATTGTGAAACTGTTTATCCATCATGTAAAATGGGTTCTGAAACAAAAGTGAGGTCAAGATCCAAACAGTGAATCAGATTCCTTTTTAGTACCTCCACATTTGGACTTGCATGACTTGCAATATGTACCATATGAAAATCAGAATGAGACTTTATAGCCCACAGAGGGTGATGCTACAGTGAACCTTCTAACCAAATGATAACTAATAAACTGACCAGTCGGAGGCAGACTAAACCTGCTGGAGGCTGACAGCACTTATACCATGACACTGCTGAATTCATGAATCTGACTGATCAGGAGTGTGATTGCTTTTCTACAACCGTACACATAACTTCAGCTAGGTACATCACAACAGTAAATTACCTGTGGTCAGTGACTTAATACCAAAATTATTTACTGATGTAATAAGCTAGTGTATATATACACACATCTCTTTGCCTCTGCTGCAGTACATTGTGGATTTTGAACACTTCTTTATCCCGTCACTGGATGTAAGTCCAGTACCTCATTCATAGCACAGCATTCATGGCAGGCAACTTCAACAGATTCAAAGGGATTGTACAAGGAATTTCATGGTCAGGTTAGGTTGGGGAGCATGCACTGGTACAGCGCGTTGCCACACCCACCACACCACAAAACAGCTCGGGATCCCCCAGGCCGACACACAGTCCAGTCCCACCCTCCATAAATCCAATTTTTTATTCCATTATTTTTCGTTTAGTTATCATTAATCCTAGAAAATTAAATACCAACACGTAGTTGTCACTTTACATGCAGTATATATACATAAAATGCATATTTATATTATAAATATGCCTATACATCTATAATGACATATTACATGAAAATACAAAGCCCAATGCAAGCAGGACACAGTGTTTTCCGAATGCAATCGCTGAAAAATCGATTATTTGGATGATTATAAAAATACCTGTTTCATCTTAACAAGGATCGTGGACCTCCGTGTTGACAGAACTTCCCAGAGGGATTGGATATGCTTCACTCTGCTCGACTGCAGAACCTGAGTCAGACCATAGTGGCATGTCAGTAAAAGCTGTCAGTAAAGGATAACATTGATCTACTATCAATATTACTTAATATCTAATGAAAAATAATGGTTATGACCTGCAGAAAGATGAACTAATTAATGCATTTAATCTATTTCATGTTGTCATATTTATAAAGTGCCATATTAATTCCAAGATGCTATTGCAAATTATGTAAATAACTACTTTTTTTTTTACTTCTATTGCGGAATATCATGTAAATATAGGTTGTGTTATTGCTGGTCTCTACCGGCAGACTTAAACGCCGCGCTCCGTCCTCCATTCTCAGTTCCTTCTTCATATAGTCCACCAGCGGCATGTCTGGATCTCCAAATGACAACTCCAGAAACCCAATGGCGATTTTCAGAGTGGAAAGTGCCTCAGAAATCTCATCAAGGTTTTTGAATTCATTCATTATGTAATTCTTGTTATCTGTGTTCAGTGGCTCCTGTGAGGGACGATTCCATGATCAGTACATAGACAGCACAATTTAATTCCAATAAGATTTTACAAAAGAATTGTGTTTCTATGCTCTGCATGTTATAATGAATAGGGAAAAAATGATCCATACCAAGTTGTCTTTTGAGTTTTGGAAGAACAAATGCATTCCTTTCACAGGATTTAAGTCAAATGATGGAATAGTCTGAAATATGAACATATAATGATGAACAATCCATCTGGGTCCATGTTCCGTAACCATGTTTATGTTTGTAATTAGTTTATAATAGATGACAGCTTCATAGAAAGTGTAACCTAAAATTTTACTGTAGGTTCATATCTATAGGGGTAGTACATTTTTTTGTTTTTTGAGTTTTCATAAGGAGATTTTACTCACTGTTAAGTTAATACATGGTTTGTCAACGATGAAACGCTTCACCAACAAATTCTCCAAGGTCTTAAAGTTATAATTTGTGTTCTGGGTTCCATCTTCATTGAATGCATAGTCAGTGTTTGATATTGCAATTTGAAGGAAATCTTCCTCAGGATTGCAGATAATTAAATGAAAAGGCTTAATTTCCTCAGTTTTGATTTCTCTGCGTAATAAAAAAAATATATGTCAAAGTTACATTACAATTACTATTTTATTGTCTCAAGATTCTGTGAATTTTTCAGTCAGTAATTTACAAACTACAAAAATATATACATCACAAAAGATCTAGTTAAATCTATTCTCTCATTTTCACTTACCCATTTCCCTGAGTTTGAGCACTTGAGATACAGTCATTCTGTGTTTTGATAAGGAACTCCAAAATCCAGTGGGTTATGGACTGATCACTGGGCAAGAGATCAATAATATTCAGATTTTTTGTGTTTCTGTGTTTCAGGTTTGGAATCCTCTCATCTGTAAAACAAATTGCACAATGATTTAAATGATTCCCAGGCACTTTTCCGAATGCAGGTCACATCAAGTGTCTTTTTTTCTTAATTTTCCGACTTAGATGGATAATGACAGTGCCTTAGTCTAAGGCATAACCTAACTTAGATTTTCTGATTATATTATGTTCTTCAAACGTGTGCCTGCAGTGTCACCAAAAGACTTGGCAGTGCATGTCACTGAAAAACCGGAAAAGCAGATAACTTACGACTCTCCTGCAAATAGTCCCAAATCTTCAGCAGGATCCTGACATGTTCCAAAAAGACTGGTGCTTCATCTAAACATACAAGTGATGCAGATGACAAACAGTCATGCACACGCTTACTGACAAAGTAAGTCGCCCATAAGTGCTACAGACCAGGAGAGAGCAGACTGCACAGAGAAGGGAGCTGCTGAAACAGAACCCCCTAGGCCAGGGGTGGCCAATCTTATCCGCAAAGGGCGGTGTGTATGCAGGTTTGTGGGATAACCTGTAGGTCAGCTGTTCAAACCCAGGTGTGAGGACTCTTCAGCCAATCAGTCCTCTAATTAGCAATCTAATTAGGGAGTAGCAGTGAAAACCCGCATACACACCAGCCCTTTGCGGATGAGATTGGACACCCCTACCCTAGGCTTTTCTTGTCAGTGTTACTATTCCTTCTACCTTTAACAACACTATCAAGTACAATTGACATATCAGGCTTAAAAACTAAAAATATGGTATGAGAGAAATACATAAAATGTGCCTTATGTACTTAAAAATGTTACAATTTATATTGTTTATCATAATACTTATGCAGATATTGTTACTTTTACATTTTTTTTCCTCATACATAATATACATGCAGTACATTTTGACAAACTATCATTGTTATGTGGAATGTAATATGTTTGTGGTCACAGTTTTTGTAATGATACTTGTAACTTTTTAAAATGCATAGCTTTGTGCAGTAGATGTTTTGAGGGGGGTGTGGCAGGGATGTCACCCCAAATGTTAGCAAAATTTCAAAAATGTATGCTTCTTGTTAACCAGGCACCCCCTCCATCCCCCAGCAGAGAAAGGGCTGTGTGTGCTGTGAACATCCTTGTAGTTAGCGATAAATACATCTCCAGACCTATTTTTATTTTTTGAACGCCCTCCTCCATCTGCATCAATTTTAAAATCAGTTGCTCCCATGAGATTCTCATTGGTGAGACCCAATACAAGACAGAAAGGGAGGTACATGTTAATGCAAGCAGCTCTGCTTGTATTCTGCATGTGTGAAGTGAAAATATCATCAAATTGAAGAGGAGGACTGCTTCACTATCTTTTATATTTTAATAAGAAAAAAAACATGTGAATTTGGAGTATTCAGGGTCTATTCAACATTGAATAAATTAAATTATATAAGACTAATCAAATAGCCTAAATTTAGACATACTTAAACACCAACATTAACCTCTTTTTTCTTAATATATTATTTACACCTGGGGTTGTGTACCTATAAAACGAATTAAAAATGTGACTGAATATGTACAATAATTAACATATTTTTAAATATTTTTAACATTGGTGTAATTAAAGTTTGATAATACTTTACTTACTTTGTCAAAGTCAAACTAGGCATAATATTCTTATTTAGTTTGTAAAGATAACAAAACTTCTCAGGATACATAACTTCCAGATGCTTTTGTGACATTGAGGTTAAGCTGCTATTCTTTGCGGCCATGCGTAAGGCTGGGCATACACTGTGATTTTTACAGTTGTTTTGTAAACACCCAGCTCAAATTGTACGACTAAATCGCATGCAATGAAAAGGAAAAGCTCACGATTTATGTCTGCATACTATACAGTCTGATACATGGATTTGACCTGACTGCTCACACTACACAAGCAATATGAACACGTCGTACTCCCATCCCCGGAACTGTAAATGATGAAAAAGAAGCAGCAGAAGACGAGGAAGAACCCGCATCAGAGGTGATGCTCACCAAAGCAAAATGCACTGTTTTGGCCATTTGTGCAATTTTGTGTGCAGAAAAATCCAAAAAGAAAAGGCGCCGACAAGTATGGACAGGAAGATGGCTGAGAAGATGTGGACAATACGGCCTGTCCATTTTATAACAAGAACTGGAGGTAAGCAGCGACAGATAAACTACATTGCAGATAGCCTGATACCTACACAGAACTTGTAATGCCGACAATAATTGCATAATTGTTCTTGCTTGCTTGCTTGTTCAAACATTCAGGCCAGTTATGTTGTGTTTATTAAAGTGCAATTTATCACAATCATTAAATATCAATGTTGTGTTTAGTCTGTAGCACATAAGATCCCACCAGCGGGTTCGGGGATTGCCGCCGCGACATGACACCGACCACCTTACAGCCACAGCTTCGATCAGCTGCCTCCACAATGGAGGCGCGGAACATGGCCCATTCGGNAAAATGTTACAATTTATATTGTTTATCATAATACTTATGCAGATATTGTTACTTTTACATTTTTTTTTGCCTCATAAATAATATACATGAAGTACGTTTTGAGAAATTATCACTGTTATATGGAATGTAATATGTTTTTGGTCACAGTGTAATGATTTTCACAATGAACTTTTTAAAATGCATAGCTTTGTGCAGTAGATGTTTTGAGGGGGGTGTGGCAGGGATGTCACCCCAAATGTTAGCAAAATTTCAAAAATGTATGCTTCTTGTTAACCAGGCACCCCCTCCATCCCCCAGCAGAGAAAGGGCTGTGTGTGCTGTGAACATCCTTGTAGTTTGCGATAAATACATCTCCAGACCTATTTTTATTTTTTGAACGCCCTCCTCCATCTGCATCAATTTTAAAATCAGTTGCTCCCATGAGATTCTCATTGGTGAGACCCAATACAAGACAGGAAGGGAGGCATACGTTAATGCAAGCAGCTCTGCTTATATTCTGAATGTGTGAAGTGAAAATGGCATCAAATTGATGAGGAGGACAGCTTCAGCATCTTTTACATTTTAATAATAAAAAAAACATGTGTGAAAAATTATCTTGGATTTGGAGTATTCAGGGTCTATTGAACATTGAATAAATTACACAAGTGTACACGTCATAGGCTAACTTTACACACCATCATACATATTTACACGGCCAACATTAACCTTTTTTTTGTTAATATATTATTTACACCCGGGGTTGTGTACCTGTAAAACTAATTAAAAATATACGACTGAATATGTACAATTAATACATACTTTTAAATATTTTTACCATTGGTGTAATTAAAGTTTGGTAATACTTTACTTACTTTGTCAAACTCAAACTAGTCATAAGATTCTTATTTAGTTTGTAACATTTATAAAGATAAAACTTCTCAGGATACATTATTTCCAGATGTGTTTGTGACATTGAGATTAAGCTGCTGTTCATGTTGACTATCTGCAGCCCTCCTTTAAAAAGATGTCACTTTGGCTACGTTCACACTGCCAGCCACATCGTTCAATTCCGATTTTTTGCTCAGATCGGATTTGTCTATCTTGACGGTTCACATTCATAAGTACAAGTGACCTGTATCTGACTGTAATGTTAACGCATCGGTCCTCCGAAATGTCACGCATGCGCACATTGATACGTTTTTACACGGGTAAAAAGCTGGTCGTAAAATTGGCACGTTGTGCGGCCGTGACCGCTGGGCTGATTCGAGTCTTTTGCCTCCTTAAACTTTGACTTCAGGCTCTTTATTTTTCTTAGGCATTGTAGCCACGTTCGTCTCTGCGCTGTGCCATTTCAAATACTACTGTATTACGATAGGTTCCTTCCAGTTTAGTTTGAACAGATTAATTTCCCCAAATATCAATTAACTTCTCCATCCTTCCACTGACTGTTATCGCAGCTCTCCTCCATTTTTACCTTCCTGCGCTGCCAGTGCAGGCTGATGTCAGCACATGCGTATAAGCAAAAAGCCGCATGAATTCCGATCTGAGCGTTCACATTCAGGTCGCGAATCGGATATGTATCAGATTTAGTACCACATATGAAAGTGACACACATCTGATTTGAAAAGATCAGATTTGCGTGTCCACACAGCCCTGAAAAGATCAGATCTGTGTCACATTAAGACAAAAAATCCGATTTGAGTCACTTCAGCATGGCAGTGTGAACGTAGCCTTTATGTCACTCTGACACACTGAAGTGTAGAGTCAGTCTTATAACCCTTTATGTCACTTGATGTCAGCATAACCCTATGACGGTCGACCCAGGTGATATGTCAACTTGACACAGGAGTTCCCAATGTCAGCATTTATGATAGCTACTAAAGTTGGAACAAGCCTTTATAAATGCTTTTGTCAAGATATGTCAGATGTCATGAAGGGCTTATGTTGGTGTCATGTAGCCTTGTGATGAGCGTTTAAGTAAAGTGGCACTGAAAGTTTTAACAAAATGTGCTTTATCTAATGAAAACAAATTGATGTGCCAATATTAACTTTTCACAAAATCTTAAACTTCATAAATAACTAGGCCTAATAATTATATACTGAATATGCCAGTTTTATATTGTTTTTAGTCAAATGTACTAATAGTTGTGTTTCTCAATGTGAACAAATCTATATAATATTGAAAGCCACAATGAAAGATAAACATATAAAGTTAATTTCTCTGACAGGTTTCACAGTGTGAATTAAAACAGTCAGCCTATGTATTACGCTGTGACAAGTATTTATAGAACAAAGATGGGTGTAGAACAATGCTCTTCAGACACTTCAGCTCCCAAATGTTTTCCAAGGCCTGTCATGCACAGTGTTCATTTGGGCATATAACTTACGACAGACAAACACTTTTGGAACTTGATACACCTTAATACCTGCTTTCAGTCTGTCGGATCTGGATTACCTCCTGCACTGGGACCCTACACCACCACAAAGCGAATAGTGCAGGCGGGGAAGCAAGCGACCAAAGCCTAGAGGTAGGTTACATGATAGGTTAAAAGCTAGACCAATCCAACTCTACCCAGTCAGGTTAAAAGCTAGACCAATCCAACTCTACCCAGTCAGGTTAAAAGCTAGACCAATCCAACTCTACCCAGTCTGTTGCTAGCGAATGTCCACTCCCTCGAAAAGCAGGATTACAACCCAGCGGAAAATTAGAGACTGCTGTGCTCCAGACCATACGGCAGCGCTTGGAAAGAAAAAAGGTAGCTATATATAGGTAGGTATCTGTTACTACTCATTCTATCCTTCCTTTCTTTTCTATTCTATTCTCAATTTTGCGAACTCACACCATCACTGCAGACATGTGCCTCAGACCTATCCCAGTCCACTTATCTCTGAGATCT